CTAATTGTAGTCATTCTGCAACATCCATAATACTTGTAAGCATGTCTAAAGTCTTGCAATGTGAAACATGAAAGTATTTGTAACAAATCAAAAGGCATCACCATGATTTGCTAGTAGGATAAATAGTCATATGGTTCAGTAATTAAAACCAGTAGTGCTTTGTGAAACTTTCCCGCTCATCGAGAAAACTTGCATGTTGGAACGAATCCTGACCTGTTGCCCAATCGCTCCTTCAGCAGCTGCTGGTGGCAGCTTGTCTTAGTCCTCCGGACAATTGCTGATACCATCTGCAGCGCTGCTGTAATCTGTCAGAGGACAACGGTTCCCAGTCACACCGACATTTCAGACAAATAAATACAAAAACAGAGCAAACTCCAGATCTTAACTGTCCAGTGATGCAATTTTAGGACCAACCTAAAGAAGCCGTTGCAGTTTACTCTCTTTAAAAGCAAACCCTGGAAAGTTTTTCTCACATACTGACCACACTGCAAAAACACAAAATACTACCAAATATTTTGATTAAGTTTCTAGTGCAAATATCTTAGTTCACTTGGAATAAGACAAAACTAACTTAAAAGTAACTTTTTAGAAATATATACTAGTAAGTTCCTTTAATTGGTAAAAGGAATTATTATTATCATAGTTTCTTCAAGATTTGCTCCTGAAAACTTGATAAGATTGGTGCTACGGCCGTTGTTCATCCAGCGACCCGTTGTGTTTTTGAGTTAAAAAATGTTTAAAGTTGACAGAAAATTTGAAAATATCACTTGATAATTACGTGTTATTGAAAGATTGGAAGATTAATACCTGAACACCAACTACAAAATCTTAAAAAAGGCAAACATTTTAAAAAGACTTGAATAAATAAGCAATGCTTAGCCTGGTGGGGGCACAAGTAAAGCCTGGTGGCCCGCCAGGCTTGTAATACACTGAGGGAAACCCTGGAGTCTTGTTTTAAATGAAAAAATTGCAATCTGCTATTAAGGAATTGACTTAAAACAAACTCCTATATTTTGCTGAAAAGTTACTTATAAGTCAGTTTGTCTTATTTCAAGTTATTTGCACTAGAAACTAGACCTGAAATATTTGGTAAGATTTTGTATTTTTGCAGTGTAGATCTACTGGTGGATTATTTAACTCATAACTAGCTTATAACTAATGCTATGCTTCGATATGTTGCTGAAAAGTCAATTAGTCTTTCTAGTGTATGAAGTTATTTGCTCCTAAAAGCACTTGGTATGTTTTGCAGTGTAAGGAATTATCTGGGAAATGGACACACTTCCACAGACGTGGAAGATCTGCTGCCTCTTCCGTCAGACTTGAACCGAATGTTTCTGACGTGTAATTTTTACTAGTCGTAGCAGATCAGTAAGGTGATGTGTGAGAGGCCGAACTCGCCTTCCTCTACAGCGAATCCCTCCAGAGGAAGGAAGAACATTTTAACGTGCAGAAAATAACTCGACTATTTGTTTCTCGAGCGAGTGCAATGTGTGTGAAATGCAGGTCAGGTGAGTCATCCGCTCAAACCTGACGGTGCTGTCTGTTTTTTTACACCTGAATGGAAAAATACACCCTGAGTGTGTGTGTGTGAGTGTTTGCACAGACACACACAGGCTGATTCATAGTTTTATGACTACCCTGGCAGCATTTCACAAAGCTAAGCTGGGAGCTACAAGGACATGCAGGAGTGTGCATGCTCACACACACATTTCCTCACCTTGATGATACTGACGGTCACCTGGAGCTTTTTTTAATTCTCAAATTCACTCCAGGTCCTCAATAAGCGCAAGCAAGACCAGCACAAACAAAAGCACAATGGCTGCCCTGAGCTATAAAAAGACAGCAGAGTTTAACCCGTCCTTGAAACTCCACAGATGATCGACGACACACACTCATAAACTCACACACACACACACACACACACATACACACACACACACACGCACACACACACACACACACACACACACTGTATTACACTCTGCAGAGTTTATGTTTAGAAGTGACAGCTCTTTCTGTCTGCTGTGTCCTACATCCAGGCACATCCACCGTTTATTTGGAAAACTGTCTAATCCTTTATGTTTTATTTGGAAGGTTTTAAACTTATCTGTGACTTTATGACAAAAATTTAACATTTCAGCTTTCAATATATGCAGTTATGCACCTTTACAGCTTCTAAGAAGTTATGGCTTATTTATATAAGTTTGCGTGTTTAAACAGCGAAAACTCAAAATCTTACCAAATATTTTTGGTCTAGTTTCTAGTCCAAATAACCTAATGCACGAAATAAGACAAAACTAACTTACAAGTAACTTTTCATGAATATGTATGAGTTTCTTTAGAGTCAATAATTCCTCAATATTGTTTTTTTAAAAAGTGCTAGTTATATTGGCAGATTATTTTGCTTATAACATGGGAAAATGTTTTATTACAAGTAAAATAATCTGCCAATGGAACTATAAATTTTTCATCAAGGACTTAAAACAAGCTCCTATATCTTTCTAGTTAGTTTTCTCTTATTTATCTTAATATTTAAGATATTTGTGCTAGAAACTAGACAGAAATATTAGGTACGATTTTGTGTTTTTTTAAAATAAACCCTTTGCTACACTGCACTGAAAAAACAAAACACAATTTTACCAAGTATTTTTGTTTTCCAGTCCCCTGATAAGCGTTTAGGATTTTATCTTGCCGTCTTTTCTCAGGATGATCTCGTCTTCATGATCTGATCTGTACATTTGTAGCTGGTAGTTGCTGCACTTGGCCGTTTTCTTTTGAGCCAGTTGAATAATTTCTAAATATTTCCAGATTTCTTTCTCTTCAACAGTCAGGAGCAAACCAAACATTTAAGGTTTTAAACTGAACAAACATCCTTCAAAATGCTGAGTAAGAGAATTTCTGTCACCTTTTCCTCTGAATATTTAAACTGGTTCTAAGCGAAGACCAGTGGAGGTTCCTGTTAGTACCAGAACAGCCATCTGGTTTCTCCACTCTGAGCCCGTTTGTTGTTTCTACGGTGGAGCTGCACATCCACTCAGCTTTCTCCTTTTGCTGTTGTTTAGTTAGCTGCTTTCTCTCTGTCACAGACAGCAGTGCTCCTGTAGCCTGTTTCTCTCCTTTAGCCTCCAAATCAGGTTCTGTTCTTCTCATCTTCACTCGTTTTTCTCCTCCTCCCTTCGGTTCTGTCATGATGCTTTCAAGGTCGTTGACCTTTGCTGGTTTTGCATCCCCTCTCGGTAGAGGAATCATTTACAGACAACTTATGGAAGATGCAAAAGTATGTTTGTACCCTGATCTTCCAAAAACATTATTACAACATACTCGGCTTTATTAAGCTGACTTAAGATCTTACAGTGTACTTCCAAATTTTATTTACTACATTAAAAAAGTGGAATAATTTAAACAAAGTTTAGTTTTGCTTAATCTTCTTGAGAAAATTAAGTTCACTATTTTTGGATTTCCTTTTTCATGTAAGTACTTTAAACAAAGAACATTCTTGCTTGATAAATGTAAATAAATTATGCAAGTAGTTGGGGCAGAATATTTTATCAGTGTGGAGGAAACTGTTAAATCTGGCTTCCCAGCATCTGTCGTCATCTTCATTGTTTTTCCTCGTGGATTCCTGGAGACGTGTAGCCGCCAACGCTTGATGACCGCCAGTCCACATCCGACGTGGAGGCACCAGGTTCTGACAGAAAATCCAGCACAAACTGGCAGAACTGAAAATGTAAAACCCAGAAAAACTAATCAAAACTTGAAACACAGTGACGGTAAAACGTTGTGATCTTTAAAAACATGCAGTGTATCCCTGTATGTTCCCCTCCACTGTTTGTCCTCCATGACAGGATATGACTGATATGGGAAGACTCCTGCATATGCACAGATCGGTCAGGTTGTCTCTGCGATCAGATGACAACGTCTTCCATGTAAATGTCTCTTCACATCTGGTCATTTTTCCCATGGAAAATTTTAAAAAGAGAATCCTCATGGAGTGTGTCTCTTTTTCTAAGCTCCTTTTTTACCCAAACATTTTGGTGTTTTTGTCGTTCGCAGGCTGATGTACATCCAGGTTGTGTTGCTTAGACACCAGAACATCAGTTTGGATGTTTAGTTTGCAGAAATTGATGTTTTTATTGACTCAGTCATGTTTGGTTTGTGTGGGAGGATTTAATCAGACTGAAGTCATAAATTGCACAAATGTTTGACTCAGACAAATAGAAATAATTTAAGCAATCAGCTTTTTTTATTTCAGCAAGTCAAAAGTATTACACAATGTAGCAGGAACTCACATTTTTAGTGCATTAATATTTATCTTAAAGCTAGAGTATGTAACTTTTATTTAAAAAAGTTGTTTTTTTTACATATTTGTTAAAACTGTCACCATGTTGCTAAACTATATGAAAATCGAGTTCTTCCATGTAAACTATATGAAAATCGAATTCTTCCATGTCTGAAGAAATGCTCAGCTCAAAAACAACCAATCAGAGCCAGTGGCTTAGCACTGTCAATAATTCTTGTGTATGTGCTGCTAAATGTGCTAAAGGCAGAGAATCAACTTACAGAGCATGTACAGAAAATGCTCTGTACAGTTACAGAGCATGGTCAATTATTGGTGGCCATGCTAACTAGCCTCAGCATTCCTGGGGAGGATGTGAACAGCATGTACCAGAGAATGATTGACAGCGCTAAGACCCTCCTCCTTGCTCTGCTTGGTTGTTTGTGACCAAGCTGTATATTTCTGTCTCAAAATAGTGACCGTTTTAACAAATATTTTAAAAAACTATTTTAAAAAAATAAAAGTTAAATATGGCAGCTTTGAAGACACAATAGTTTCTTTGTTGTGGTTGAGTAAGAAAGTACCAATGATCTGAATCACTGATTCTGATTAACCTAATCAGGTGGTTTGTGTATCTCCATTTTTCTAGGTAATTGTGTTGATCGGCTACATGATTCTGTGCCATCTTTTGACCCCAATTATGCCTTTCTTGTTTTTTTGACAGTCGGGTCCAGCCACTCATCATGCATGACTCCTGGCTGCATATTAACAGCTGTGTGCCACGGTGCAGCTGTGGACCGGCACCACAGATGGTGCTGAATACTGGATGAGATGGTGGAGCTGCATGATGGAAGCCGCCTGGACGAGGTTAGATCAGGTTAGGTTGGCGGTTCATGACCCCAGTTAGCAGTCGCTCTCTTCCTGTGATTTGTTTCTGCAAAAATCCATTCTGGTTTGTTACAAGCTGTCTTATTATCTTCTGTTTTTATGATGTTTAAATGGATTCAGAATTTGTCTGCATTCCATGGGGAAAAAAAGAAAGTCAAAAGATGAAGTTCACAATTTACTGGTCTGGTTCAGTGCTCATTGTCCTTTAATAACTTCTCAAAAGACATTTACATGAAGTGTGGGCTCAACATTGATGGATTGTTTCTTGCAGGTTAGTGGAATCAACTCACTCTCTCTCTCTCTGGTTACCTAGCAACTCACTCCTTCTGTGGTTACCTAGCAACAACCTGTTGAGTAGCTTGCCCAGCAGCACTTTGCCTCAAAACTGCTTAAAACTAAAAAACAAACAAACAAAAAAAACATCATGGAGTGAAACTGTGAATAAAACAGAAAAGTTCACACCACCAGTTTGGCAGCATTTCATATATTTAAAACAAAAAACTAGTCAATAATTATCGATATTATCGACTGACATCAAAGGCGTTTATCGTAATATGTTTTTCAGCCGTATCAGTGCTTTGAATTCTGTGATGTCACAGGTGAAATTAGTCTAGAAGAGGGAAAGAAGTCTTTGTAACCTCTGTTCTGCCCTGTGTATGTTTTATGAGTTAATAAAACAATGTTGTCACCTTTACAGTAGGTTTACACAATTAAGAGTTAAAATTAATATTAAATCTTAGTTTGTTGCCTTTAAAAATAGAGAAAAAAATAGTGTTAAGTCAAGATCTTATTTGAAGCTTGTTGATACGTTAAAACAGGACAGTTTTGAGAGGCCCAGTAGAATGAAGCATGTTGCCAGGTAACGAGCTGGGCTTCCCTGGGGTTGCTAGGTGACGGCTAGTGCCTGCTGATATTCGGAAGGTTTTTGAAACGGCTCATTTTCCAAACACCAAAAAACATTTAACTTATTGCCAAAAAATGGCTGGATTATAGCTATATATCGTTTTAGTTTTTTTTTTGTTTTTTTGTTTGTTTTTTTGATTGAGTTGTTTTTAGAAGCAATAGAGACACAAATAACATAAAAACATACTGAAACTCAAACATACTTTTTTATTCAGTGCCTAATCCTGCTAAACTGCACAAAACCCATTAACCTGGAAGTACAAGTGTCTAACGTGTTTTTTCCATCATATTTTTATCCTTGGTAACAAATCCAAGGTGGTCATGATGTATTCCCTACATTGTGGAGAAACTATGTTGGCTGGAGGTGAAGAACCCTTTCTGTCAGATATAAATTAGCCCTTTCATCATGAACAAATTATGTTTAGCGGAAAGCAGCCAAAGTGAAAAGTAGCTTTCTCATTGTTTTTCTTGCTGTGCAGCTCTGAATTAAACAGCATGAGAATAGTTGTGTATTGTCCCCAACTGATTAATACATCTTGGAAAAACACAAAAGACAGCTTTCTAATTTTTTTTGTGCTCTTTTGGAAACCGCAGGACGTGCCTGAGTGCACATTCTCAAACAATTAGGAATGAGTAAAAGTTTCCTAATACACAAATTCAAAGCATTACGTGGAGCATGAAAGGCTGTTTGTCCTTGGAGACGCCTCATAAAGTGAGTCAGGCATGACTGGGAGGTTTGGAGCCCAGGATGCAATCACATTGGGGAGGATAAAGTTTCCATAAACAAGTTTCAGATCAGGTATGCAGCAGCAGATCTTTTTTAAAGATGTGATATTAGAAGCAAGCAGACGTGCATGTAGATGTTCAGATAGACAGCTGCCCAACATATTAAATAGCATTTGCTGGAGTATTGTCTCATAACCTTTTACCCCCCAGGCCAGAGATGTTCCCTACAATGCATTATGGGATATGAGTGGTCACAAACAGATACAGCTTTATTCCACTGGCCTGAGGCGTTCTCTCCCGAATGGACCTATGTAATAACAGGCAGTGGCACACAACGAGGAAACACAGGAAATGTGTATCATGATTTATAAAACCTGTAGCATCATATCTGCACATCTCACAGAAATGCACAGACATCCCATTCATCACGTGTTGTCATCGAGTTAGAAATCAAGAGGTTATGTTACAAAAACATCCAAAATGTCTCAGCTGATGCGTGAATCCGAAAGCTAGCATCAAGTCTCGTCTGTTTACAGCTACTTTATAAACCATTAATAGTACAGAGGTTAAGTTTTATAAAAAAACAAAAGTTTTTTACATTTTTGCTATGAAAAGATCGATCTCCTCCACTTTCTGCTATCTGAGGAAACGCACCAATCACAGCCAGCAGGCGGGTCTTAGTGCTATCAATCAACTCATAAACACGCTGCTAAATGTGCTAATGGAGGAGAAACAGCTTACAGTTACAAGAAAACTGCTTATTGACTCTGATTGGTTGTTTCTAGTCAGCGTTGGGAGAAGGCAGATGTGTTCGGGGTTCTTTTCATAGATTATCTGTCTCGTATCAAACTGTCACGACAGTTTCAACAAATATGTAAAAGAATCATTTTATAAAAGTTAAATAAATGCTGTTTTAAAAAACATGAGACACTTTAATGATTTTTAATTGAGCACAAACTCTATAGTGAGCATTAAATTAACTTTATGGACCGATGTTTGGTTAGTAAAAATTTGCATTTTAATTATAAAGTTTCTAATATCATGCCATTAGCAATATATTACATTATATTAGCAACATAATTTCTGGGACAATTTATCGTCCAGAACAAATTTTATTGTTCCCAAATTTATTGTAAGCTCAATCCAAGCACAAACTGGTGTGTTGGTAATATCTGATCTCCTCTGTAAAGTTTCTTTGAGGACAGCAGAGGATGTTTTCTGTTTCATAGAGCCGACATCCGCAGAAGCCGGCCTTATCACTGTGTATCACAAGGACGGGCATGAATTAACAAGAAGCCCGTTTCTGACTCACAGCCGGTTCATTAAGGGGACCGATTAGACCCGAACCTTTTCAGTTTCACTCAGATTTGAATACCGTTTCAAATAAATTCATCCAGAGTCTTCTGAGAACAAAGATAAAAGTGTGATTCTCAGCAGAGCAGCAAGAAGCATGACACAGGTCGTCCCCCAGTGGGCTAATATGACTCAGCGCGTTGAGAGTTAAACCATCCGCTCAGTCCCCAAACTAGTTTCACATCTAAATTTACTGTATGCTAATAAGACGTAGCTGCAATTACCAGAGGTAAGGGAGGAATGTGCTGTTTGTTACGTCAGGGTGAGAATCAGTAGACCCAGAAATGAAGAGGGTTAAAATTTGAGCTGAGTCACACAAAAACAACCGATTCAGTTGTTTTTTTCACATCATGGGAGTCGGAAAAGAAAGTTACAGGGTTTTATGTATCAGACAAGCATTTCTGACTTTATGCTGATATCGCAGTGATGGCGCCGGCTTCAGACAGTAGTTACTGTTGTATCTTTTATTAATATAATTTATCGTTTACAAGATAAATTCAAATTAACGATGTTTATAAAAACACTCTCCATATTGTTGGGATTACTTTCTATAAATGGTTGCCATCATCACTTTTATTATCTCCACAAAATATTATGATAAAACTTTAAGTCCAGGTCATCCACCATCAGCTTTTCCAAACTTTATCAGGTTATAACATTTTTTAATTGATATCAGACATCAGGGGTGGAAATTTAACATATCGTGTATTATTTTCTTACTATTTTTGAATTATTGTCACAATAAATTCCAATTGATATATTTCACCAGGGGTGAAAATGTAAACATTTTTACCGGCCACCCAGACATTTCACCAGCCACTGTTTTTCTTTTTCTTTTAAATCTGCTCCACCAGGTAAAGTTTGTGTGATAATCAACATATCATATAAACACAGTTTTCTGAAGGGGCTTATCTTAGCTTTTGTTGTCGTAGTTTGTCTGACCTGCCCCGTCTTGGATCCGCTCACTTGGGCGGGCCAAAGAGAACCGAAGGATTTCATTGGATAATCCAAATGTCCATCAATAAAATCAACCAATGGGCTGTCGTGGGCGATAAACATTATATTTAATACTCTTTTGTTAAATAATGAGAGCCTAGAGTCACCCCCCCTCCCCCATGTACAGTAGTCTGTCCTTCTTTCCTTACTTCCTCTTGTCCTTACTTCTTTCGCTCCTGTTTTTTCTTTCTTCCTTCCTTCTTTCCTTCCTCAGATGCATCCTTCTGTCCTTCCTTTCACCTTCCAAGGATATTTTCTTTATATTCTGCTTTTCCTTCCTTCCTTTAGTTTTTTCTTTCTTTCCTTCTTTCTTCCTTTTTTCTTTCTGGTTTCATATCATCTTTTCTTTTTGTCCTTCTTTCTCTTCTTCCTTCTTTAGATGTTTCCTTCGGTCATTCCTTTCTTCCTTCC